CAGCAGTAGACGCGGAGTTGATGCACAATGCAACCCACATGGAGAAAGTGACTTGGCAATGATGGGAAGCAATATCGAGAGTTGTTGATGATGGGTTGTGAGTCCAGTGGAGGAAGGTATTAGCGCCACAAGATCGGTGCATGATGTGAAGACGTTCTTGTTGGGGAAGATGAAGTTAGAACATGCTTGAGCAGCAGAGGATGATAAGAAGCTAATTGACTTTTGAGGTTTGGATGGATCGAAGAGGGCCAAAGTGATTTGGTATTGTGCTGTCTTTGCAATTTTGTGTCATTTGGTCAGAAAGAAATATGCCAATTTTCGAAAATAAATTTCAGGATGTCGAATTTTTGTGGGATAAAGTTTGTCACTTAACCTCTTTTTGGGCTTTAGTGAGTCCTCTATTTAGAGGGATTTTACCTTTTTTTGTTAACTTGTGTGTGACATGTAAATGGATTCTGATGTTGTCTTGTTTGAGTTTTGTATTTTCTTTCTTTTTTTGTCTTCTTATCTTCGTTTCTTTTTGTTTATTACTGAAATTCTTTTTTATTTTTTTGATCAAAAAAAAAAAAGTAAATTATAAATACACTTCTTGAAATTTGCTTAAAATACGAATTGTCCCCTGTGGTTTGAAAAATTACAAATACCTCTCTGTCAGAACTTTTTATTTAATAGAATTAATTAAAAAAATAAAATTTCGAACGGTTCACCTATACAATAATAAAATTATCTGAATTATTAATTGAAATAAAATTTTAACATTATTTAAAACTGTTAATTAACTTGATAATTCACTACAAGAATTTACACATTTGCCGACCACTTTTGCCGACTAAAAAAATTTGGGTCACAAAAAAATGACATTTGGCGACCAAATATTAATTAGTCGCGAATGATCATTATTTTTGGCGACCAAATATTATTGGTTGCAGCAGGTTATATTTTGGCGACCAAAAAATGAGTTGGTCGCAGAAAGTTGTATACTTTTGCCGACCAACTACAAATTTGGTCGCGGAAGGTCACATATTTTTTTGCGACCAAAAATTTGGTCGCAAAAAACTTATTTTCAGCAACCAAAAAATATTAGTCGCCAAATTAGTACTTTTAGCGACTAATATTTTAGTAGCCGTTGATTGAGATTTGACGACTAAAAAAGTTTGTCGGCGAAGGTACCTTTTCTGCGACTAATATGATCTTTTGGTCGCCAAAAGTTTGTCCGGGGGTAATTTGATTTTTAGTGGGGGCGGGAATTGAAATTGTTTGGCGACAAATAAATTTGGTCGTTAATTTTAAAACGACGTCGTTTTGTACCATGAAATCAGAAAAAAAAATCAAATCAAATCAAATCAGTGCCCTTTCTCTTTGTTTCTCGGTCCGCCCTCTCCCTCCGTGTTCTTCCTCTCAATCGGTGCCCACTCTCCGCCTCTGGGACCTCTCCACTGGCATCACTGCTCGCCGCTTCGTCAGCCACTCCAAAGATGTCCTCTCCGTCGCTTTCTCCTTCGATAATCGCCAAATCGTCTCTGCTTCCCAAGACCGCTCGATCAAGCTGTGGAACACTTTGGGTAAGTGTAAGTACACGATTCAAGATGGTGATTGAAACCCGATTGGGTCAGTTGTGTTCGATTTAGCCTTAATAATCTTCAGCCTACGATTGTGCCTTTGTCTTGGGATTGGACTGTGAAGATTTGGAATTTGACCAATTGTAAGATTAGGGCTTCGCTTGCTGGGCATTCTGGGTATGTGAATACGGTGGCCGTGTCACCCGATGGGTCGTTGTGTGCGAGTGGTGGGAAAGATGGGGTTATTTTGTTGTGGATCTGGCTGAGGGAAAGAAGCTTTACTCGCTCAATTCGTGTTCTACAACTCAGGGCTCCTATCAAGATATTTGGTGATTTGCATGGGCAATTTGGAGATCTTATGCGACTATTTGATGAGTATGGCTCACCTTCAACTGCTGGGGACATAGCGTAAGTGTTTTTGTTCGTAGATTATGTTTCATTTTTTGACATTTTATTCCAATATTGTTTCCATCCTTTAACAAAGAGTTCATCATTGGCCCCAACTTCTTCTGATGTTTCAGAGGCAAACATTAGCCTCTGTAACTTGTTTTGTGTGTTTTTGTTTTTATATTGAAATTTTGACAAATCTGTACCTTGATCACATATTGCGTGGATACATTTTTTAAGTTATTGGTGTAAGAATCAGTATGGCATTGCCACGGCCTGGTGTTTGGTTAGACTTGAGATGTGATGCAAACAATCAAAAGTTAAATAGGATTGAATATGTAAAAAGCATTCATTGAAACAAAGAATAGTCAAAAGTATAGACCGGAACCACCTGAGGGTGGTGGACTGATGGTGGCTTCTTTGATTCGAATATTTCTTCATCGAGGAGCTTGATCAGGTGGCCTGATGGTGGTTTCTTTGATTTGAATATTGCTTCTTGTGAAGCTTGATTTGAATTTTGAAAATCTACGATACTTTTCAGACCCTGTTTTGTACTGGGTACTGTGAATTGAGTCCAAGGTGCAATAATATGAGGCAACATATGATTTTGGCTAGATGCAGGGTCTTTTTATTATGCATAAAATGCTAGAAATAATTGTTGTTTATTGTCATGTTTCCATGGGCATTCCCATGGAACTACATTTTTCTATTGCTCTTACAGGTCTACTGCCTGCGTATTATGTTTTTTTCTTTAATGAAAGTGATTACTTCTGTTTGGCCTTTTTAAAGCATTTTCTAGGTCCTTCTGTGAGATTATGCAATTACTAGCATTTTTTTTCCCACCCTTTTATCATGATGCTAATTTCATGTATGACTATCAGATATATCGATTATCTCTTCTTAGGAGACTATGTTGATCGGGCCCAGCACAGCTTGGAAACAATTACTCTTCTGCTATCTTTGAAGGTATAATACACTTATTTGGCCTGTATGTTCTTCCTTAGTGGTTAATTATCTTAGGGCTCAAACATTTTCTTAAACTAAAACATGTTGGCTGTGTTTCTGTCCATATTGATCGGTTGAACTAGAAACTTGTTACAAAGACCTAGAAGGGATCAGGTGAGTAGGTAGAAACTGATGAAAATGAACTGTTAACATGAATGATGTCGACTTTCCCAGTCAGTGTTAAGTGTATGCTTAAGTAAGAGGATATGCTTGGAAACACAGTTACAAGTAACGCTTTTGACATCTACATGGGATTGGTTGAACCTAGTTTGAGTAAGAGGATATGCTTCGTTTCTGTTTTCTACCCCATTTTCTCTAGTTCAGATTAAACAAGAAGCTTAGAGCCTTTATGGTTTTTTTTTCATTGTTTTTGTCGTAATTTTCTATGTGTGTGTGTGTGTGTGTGTGTGTTTTTTGTATGTTTTGTGTGTGTGAAATCAAATAATGGGACTTTGCAACGTAGTTGTTTTCCTACCATTTGCATTTTCTTATAATTTTTAAGATTGAAATAAATACATCTAATTCAATGTTGAAGACTGAATGTCTGAAAGAAAACTATGGATCAATTGAAGACTATGGATCAATTCATATTGTCAACCTTTCATGAAAAACTAGTTTTCATACTGAATTGATCGAACCTTTCATGTGTGTTAACTTTACATGAACTAGTGATTGTCAACCTTTCACATGAATTAGTGATTGTTCGTTGCACTATGAATGTGTGTTAACTTTACATTTTACATTGATATTCCTATTCTAGGCCCTGTTTTGGAACTGTGAAGTTTGTCCAGTTGTGTTCAAGCTCAACTCCAGCTGACTGGTCCATATAAAGAAGATTATTTGTTTGTATTTAGTTTATCTAAATTGCTAACTGAACCAGTTCTATAATTATAGTTGTAAAGTGTATGTATTGCGCCTTGAAAAGAACAAGTTAGCAAAGAACTAGAAAGAGGAGGATTCCAACCAACCTCAAAACATGTTAGGAAGATAAGTAGATAGAAGATAATTCAATTTACTTTTTTAATGAAATTTTAGGTGGTTTTACCTTGTCTTTCCTTCATTGGATTTGAACTCTTATGAATATTTATGGTTTCTCCATCTGTTTAACAACTCCTCAAGCTTCCAAGGTTCCCTTTAACTTTCACATGTGTTTATGTGAGGATGAGGTAACCATTATTACAGCAAAAAAGAGAGAATATGATTGAACTACATGAATATTTTTCATGCATGTTTCTTTTTAAACAAAAGTATATATCTTCTGTGTCAAATTTTTGCAAATTCACTCTCCATCCCTCTATCAAAATTTATGTTTCTTTGGTTAATAGTGTGTTTAAATTGAAGTTATACATAATTAAGGAAAGAAAGATGACAATGAAATCTATTTGGTGGTTGGGATTGCATAAAAAATAAAGTAACACAATTTGGAATTATTTTTATTGTGTGAAACAGTGGAAAACAAATGACATGATAGCCAATTTTGATGCACCATTCTAGAAAACATTTATTAAAATTTTCTTGAAAATATGTTTACTCAACAAAATATTTAAGATAGTTTTTGGTTTGATAATGGACATTAGAAGCAAGATCAACTTTAAAATAGTTGAGCAAAATCATCTCATGTGTTATCTTTATTTTGAAATAAGGCGTGCCATTTCTGACATAACATCAAGGGAGAAATTCCCTTTTTACTAAACTTAGACAGATTCTGACCCTTTGTGTGTGGATATCATAAAATATCATTCAAAACATAATAATAGCTATTGATACCCTTTTCTCATTGTCTTTCCTTTGGCTTTGGCCTTGGTTGCCTTCACCTTAGGGTGGCTGTAGTTTGCCTCGACCTAGTGATGGCCTTGGATTACCTTGGCCTAGGGGTGGCCTCGGTTTCCTTAGACTTACCCTTGGTTCTAAGCCTTGTATGATTATATCTTAAATTTATTGTCTTTCAAGTCCAATGTCGAAGTTACCTGGGCTTTGGGGGTGGCCTTCATTGACTTGGCCTTGATGTCCATAGTTGTAATTATCTATGCCTTAGCCCTAATACTCATGTTAAATGGTTACTAAATTGAGAACATGTTGATTTGTCTTTCATGCATTCTGCATTCTGCAGAGTGATGCAGTGGTAACATGTATGATGGATTGTCCGCTTATACAAAATATTTCCTATGGTCATAAGCAGAAATGTTGATTTGGTCATAAGCAGAAAGATAATTAAGGGTGGGACTCATGTTGATTATGTTACCAACTAGATTACAAACTATGTAATGAGTATTGTTAATAAAAAGAATAAGAATGCTAATCTCAAAGCCCACGCAGTGAAGAACCATCTATGGGTTTTTGTCAATGCTCTTATTGACAAGCCAGCTTTTGATTCTCAAACCAAAAAGACTTTGACAATTCGCCAAAGCAGTTTTGGGTCAAAATGTGAACTTTCACAGGAGTTCCTGAAGAAAGGTTTGTTCTATTATTTTGAAATCTTTATTATTATTATTATTATAAATTTTAAAAAAGAAAAGCTGTTTACTCCTTTTGTGAGTGTAATTTTGATGCTTTTGTGGTCAATTCTCCTGCAGTGTCCAAGTCTGGAATAGTGGAAAGTCTCTTGTCATGGGCAAATTTTAAGCAGAGCAAGGATCTTAAGAAAACTGATGGGACAAAGAGACAGAGGATAACTAGGATTACCAAACTAGAAGATGCTAATGATGCCGGAGGGAAGAGCTCTGATAAATGTACCTTGATTTTGACAGAAGGTGTTTCAGCGAAGGCACTTGCGGTAAGTTGTCTAGCTATTTAAGCAGTTTCAGTTGAGTTTGTTTTTTTTTTAGAGTTTTTAACTGATTTGAGTATATACAGATGGCATGAAAGGATATATGAATTTGGGATTAGACTGTTATAGGTTGTGAATCAAGCCACGAAAAGATAAAACTGTCTATTTATGTATTTTTTATTTTTATTTTTTTGGGGTGAGAAAGAATGTTGAGTAATTTGCATGGTTAGTTTTAATTGTAGTTTTTTATTAAATGGATTTATTAGATGGAATAGAAGAATCAGTAGAGCTAGAAGGTTTTATAGTTAAAGCTCAAATTTTCTTTTGATCCCCTTGTGGTAGGGTTTCTTATTTGTTGATCTTTTATTGTCTTTTAGAGTTTTTGTGTTGTTTAATCCTGGGGTAATGCCTAATGAGTAATGGCTGAGGCTGTGTAGTTCATCTCTCTATCTAGTACTTGTTGAATTTTTATGTGAGTCAGATAGAAAAAAAGGAGACTTTCACCTACCTCCTCTGTGGTTTGGCAATTAGGCAAAAAACCCCTAAGGTTTGAGAAACCTACAATTACCATGATGGAAAGCTAATGGACCAATGGCAAAATGGTAAAAATATATGAAATAAAAAGAGAATAGAAAAAATATATGGTCTACGGTTGACAATTTCTAGTTTATGGTGGCTTGTGATGTTACGTAGTTGATGGTTGACAATTTTCTAGTCTTTGGTGCATGTATGTTTGGTATCATATGGTATATTTATAAGGTGGTAAGTGTCGTCCTTTTTTTTTCATAAAAATTGTTCTGTAACATTGAATAAGCATGTATGTCAAATATTACATCACAAAAATAAGAACAGAATTAGGAGAAATGGGAAATTTATATATGGTTGGTTTTGCCTCACATTTACAACAAAAAATATTCTCACCATTGGCCTTATAGGCCAAGTGGTACCTGGGTGTTCTCCCAACCTTGATGTTTCAGGGCTCGGATGCTCAAGTTTCTTTCCTATCTTGATTAGCCTAGAAAATGGGCAAGATCCTGTATTCTTGATTATTTAGTTTGGTAGCGGTTCCATAGAGTGACAGCTGATTTGTGAAAAAAGAAAATTTTGTTGGACAACAGACATAACAATGAATTTATTTGGCATTTCCATTTCCGCATTGCTGGACATGATTTTTCTTATTTGGGGGTTTTCATCTTGCAGATTTCTAGATCAATTGGTGATGTTTATCTAAAAAAGGCTGAATTCAACAGGGAGCCTTTGTATGCTAAGTTTCGCCTCCGTGAACCTTTTAGAAGGCCAATATTAAGCGCTGAACCATCAATTTGTGTGCATGAACTCCAACCAGATGATCGATTTCTCATATTTGCTTCTGATGGATTATGGGAGCACCTTAGCAATCAGGAAGCAGTAGACATAGTACAAAATCACCCTTGCAATGTAAGTTTATCTTTGGCTCTACATGTTAGTGAGTATTTTATTTGGGAGTGGATCAGTTCTTAATTCTTGGATGCTACATAATACGATATCAAACTGTTTAGTTCTTCATTATCATCACCAATACTGATCTTGTGGCCTATATTCTTTTTTAACATACCTAGAACCATTACTTTGGTTATTGCTAAAAAAAATTCTGATGTGTATTGGATGTTAGGTATGTATTTTTTCCCGTTCTTACTATTCCTCTGTTTTTCAATTTATTATATTAATGATGTAGTTAATATTGGAATTTCTGCTTGATTTTATGATACAACCCTCCTAAATTTTGCATGGTCAATAACTGGGATGGCACCATTTTTATTAAAATCACGATCTGAATAACATCCAAATTAGCATAAAATCAGTATTATAGCAAAATTGCAAGTAGGATAGTGTAGGATCTTATAGAATCATTGAGCTAGTGATTTTTTTTTTCCCTTTATTATTTTAATATACATCATGCTTAACGGTCTCTCTCTCTCTCTCTCTCACACACACACACACACACAGGCACACACACAATATTTGATCTAATCCACGAGACCCTGTACTTATCAATCTGACATAGGATCCTGATTTTAGCAACCATATGTGTTTACAAAAGCATGCGTGATTCACTAGTGGTTCTGTTGCACTTGGTTGTATTGGACCGACATAAAATAGCAGTAAGCAATTGCTTCCTCCAACTTTTTTGTTAGCCAGTTACTGATTTATTGACATATGAAAATAGCATTAAGCAATTGCTACTGCACTTTTTTTTTTTGTCTTCTGCTATGAATGCATTGGTTGTCACTAGCAGTTCTTTCCCTTATATTATGTTATGGTGCTTATATGGATAAGAAAGAACCATGTGAACCAGATGGGTGTTGATTCTCCAGATTTTCTAATTTTTTATTGAGAGTTAACCATGGCTTGGGTTTTTAGCTCTTTATTGATGGTTTTCTATATAGTAAAAATTGACTTGGAGAATGCATTATACTGAAAGTGGCACAACTTTTGTGCTCTTGCCATTTTCTTATTAATTTCAAGTGGGATAGCTTGAATTGACGTGTGATACCTGACATCATTTAATAGTGTTCATGAGTCAATCATAATATTTTTGAATTTATGCTTGGTTATCTACTTTGGTTTATGTAATTTGATTGGAGTTTCCTCACATTCATTTTAAACAGGTTCCTCGTCAGCGGTATTGTCCACCCGTGGAAGTCTTTAAGAGCTGCTGCAGAGAAGTTAAAAAAGGTTGTGTGAGACCAAACAGCTCCCGGTATTATCTCTCTTTTGTTGATCAAGGTGGAGAGGGGAATCGATCAGAACCAGTAGAACCTCATCTGGTAGTCCAAATGGACACAGAGAGTTCTGTACTGTACCAGAAAACCTGCCTCGACTATTGTTTTGAAAAACCAATAAAGGTGAGAAATTTATAATACATTCACATACGTAAAGAGCATTGCCTCGACTATTGGGTTCCAATATCTCTATTTCGTTTATTTTTTAATTAATTTTATATATTTATCATGCTTCTCTGATAAATTTTCCAATTCTGTTTCTTTATTAGGTGCCTTACATCACTACTGCTTTGATGGATGCGAAGCTTGGCACGGAAGGCCGCAAGGATCTTTTTGATTGGCTATCAAGGCAACTTAGTGGATTAAGCAATTTTCCTGATGCTGTAAATCTGAATTATGTATTATTTCAAATTGTTATGCGAGATGGATGTGACTTGTGAATGAAAACTTAGAATAGTAATATTGTGTCGAATGTTAATGAATTATGTATTGTGTCGAATGTTAATGATTCAATTAATTTGAATGATGCTTTAAAATTATAGGTTTATTATGGATTGAATGAATTATTAGGAATTATAGGTGTATTGTTTTCCTGCTTTGGTGACCAATTTATTAGTCACGACAAATAAATAATTTTTTTTCGCAAAAAATGACAATTGCCGACCAAGAGTTTTGGTCGCAAAAAATACATCTATTGCCGACCAAAACAAATTTGGTCGTGGAATCTCACTTTTGCCGACCAAAATTTTTGGTCGCAAAAAGTAACAAATGGCGACCAAATTTTCTGGTCGCGAAATGTGATAATTGGTGATCAAACTTTTTGGTCGCGAAATGTGACAATTGACGACTAAGAAATTTGGTCGGGAAAATATCACTTTTCGCGACCAAAGTGTTTTAGCGAGAAAATAAATTAGTCACGGTAATTAAATATTTAGCGACCAAAAAATTAGTCGGCAAATCTAACTTTTGCCAACCAACCAAAATTTTGGTCGTGAATTACTTTTGCCAACCCTAATTGGCCACCAAAGTAGCGACCAAAAAAATTGGTCGCGGATAACTTTTGCCGACCAAAAATTGACTTTTAGCGACCAATTTTTTTGTTGCCAAAAGTGTTAATTCTTGTAGTGATTTATTAATAAAATGACCTATTTGTTATGAAATTTGAAACTTTAAGGGGCATAATCTAATTTCTAAAATTACAGGGGGTAATTTATAATTTAAGTAAATTTTAGGGAGTGTGTTTTTAATTTAGCAAAAAAAAAAAGGTGGAACAAACAAGCCTATCACCAGTACCAAGAGGCAAAACAGCTGTTGGTCGAAAAATGAAGGGAAAAGCACTAGTTTGGCAAAAAATGCAAGGAAAACAATAACTGAAGAGTTTTAGAAAACAAGCAACTCTTTCTTTCGACGATGAAAGAGTTTTGGAAAGAGGATTATACAATCCTAATTCACATGAAACTATTTGTTTTAGAAAGTGTAGAGTGTGTTTGGTTTGATTTTAGGAGATAAATTTTCAAAAAAAAAAAATTTGAGGAAAGAGTTTAGAAATTTTTTTAGTTTGTTTGGTTGTATATTTTGGAAATAGTTTTGGAGCATGAGAGTTTGGGATGATTTGATATTTTGTTGTAGTTAAGTAGATATATGTGAGAGAAAAAATAATTGAGAAAAAGAGAAGAGAGAGAAAAAATGATTGATTGATGTGTAGAAGATAGAAAGTGATTTTGGAAAAAAAAAATTCAAAATCACTAAACCAAACAAAAATTTTAAAAAATTATTTCAAAAATTATTTCTCAAAAACAAACCAAACAAGGCCGTAGTATCCAAAATCTTAATTCACATGAAACTATTTGTTTTAGAAAGTGTAATGTCCAAAACAGTAGTGTTGCCACACCAGATTGCTCAATTGATCATCATTATAATTCTTTCTTTTTTTTAGGTGAATGATTATAATTCATTTTGTCTATGGTTGAAACAGAAAATTCGTGGTGTTATTTTCTTAAAGACAGTATAGATACAAACTAATAAACACGAATTTTCGAATTTTGATATAATAGGAATTTGAAAAAGCAAAGAATTAAACAGAAGCCACAAATACATCGACTTGTCAAATAAAAAAAGAAAAAGGAAAAAAGTGTTTCACAAGGGAACAAGGCACAGTGACCATCTATAATTAGCTCATGCGCAAGTTTTGTGTAGTGCTTGAACTTTGGAAGCACATCATGCAACAAGAGATGGATAGGTTATTGGTGTCATCTAGTTCCCAAAAAAAAAAAATATTACTATATGCATTCAAGTCTGTTATATGCTTCTTAAAGTTACGAAGGTGTTGTATTAGCTAGAACAAAGTGTATCACATTTTTTCGGTTCTACTCAACTGGACGGATCAAAAAATAAAATAATTTTTTTTTTAAAAAAAAAAGACACAATTTGCAAGCATTTCAGAAATCTCATATGCATGAATCTTCAGAGTACTATTACAAGTTCCCCTATTTCTATGTCAGGCAAAAAAGAGCATTAATGGAAATCTCTTGACCCCCTAGCCCTTTATATCATCCTCCAAGTTTGCTGTCATTTTGCACTCAAAACCATTACAAACACCCCTTCAATATGAAACAAATTGCCAAGAATTGATTCAATCTAGGTGCTATATATGATTTGAATGAGAGTAGGCAATGGCATGACATAAAAACCAAAACACAAGGTTTTGACTTGACATGGATACGCCCATAAAGATTATAGCCCACCATTTAGGGCCTAATACACAACTCAAATACTAAGGCCCAGCACTGCCGAAACCCCACGTAGCAATAAGAACCAATGACATCAAGACACATGTCAAGAGAAGGGCAAGCCACATAAGCAGACAAAGATCTGCAAAATTATTGCCATTGCACATCGCCATTAATGAAACCCCTTACAGCATTTATTGCGACAAGCCCTCTCCGTCGGGACAGAACGCCTTCACCATGAACAAGGTAAGCTAGAGCATAGACTTTCGGCCAAGGTGACAGGTCGGAAGGGACAACAAAATGATTACCAGAGGATATAAGCAGACGTCGAAGACAAGAAGAAGGTTAAGTTTTTCTGTCTCTAATTCATCCCTACATTCTATTTCTCTCTCTAACTTGCTCATCGGAGGGTTCGCTAGGAAACTTCTCGTTCCCCGTTGAACTCTTGTGCAGGTTCCTCTGTGGGCTTGGTCATCCGGACTTCGGTTTGGGAAACGTGGATCAGTCCGACCCGTTCCGTCTGGAACCTGCTATATCATCAGTTGGCGCCGTCTGTGGGAAACGTTTTTGTTCCGCGTGCCAGTTGTGCTCATTGTTGCCGGAGACCCTCTCCCAATAACCCCCTCCTACCACCTGTGAAGGTGGATGGTCACAACTAGATCCATGGCTTCTCACCCCAATGTTCCCGATCATCAAGCCGACCCTTCTAATCTGAATAACCCACCACAGTATTTCACCGAACTCACCAACAGCATTAACCGCTTAGCCGAGCAAAACCAAGCCCTGAGTAATGCTCTACTCCAAAGAAACCTTTCTATGCCTCCTCCACCACCTCCAGATATTCCACCCAACCAAGAACGAGCCCCGAGCCATACTATCCTGCAACCTAACCCACCCAACTTGGAAGGCTTGCGAGCTCCCCTCCCGGATATAAACCTGCCACCCCAGGCCCCTCATCCATCAGCCCCGGTACCAATCCCCGAGGGAGAGGCCAGTAGCGTCCAGCCCTCGCTCCCTTCCGGTGGTGACAACATTCCTCTCTGGGATGCAGAACTCCGAGCCATGAAGCTCTAGCTCCAAGGAGTCATGCAAAACATACAGCATAAACCATCCACCATGGCCAACTCACCGTTCGTTGCCTCCATCCGGGACAAACCTCTACTCCCAAATTCAAAATGCCCACCATCGACTCTTTTAACGGTACAACGGACCCAGCCGATCACTTGGAGACCTACAGAACCCTCATGATCCTCCATGCATTCCCTGACGAGATCATGTGTCGGGCTTTCCCCGTAACACTCAAGGGGTCGTGTAATACCCCTGTTCTGTAGTATGCTAATTGGTCCTTAATATGAGTATGATGATGTGTTTAATATGATTTTATGTGCCATTTTGTGAATATATGTGATTTCGAAGTTCTATATGTTACCGTAGGAATATCTATTTGAATAATCTGCTTTGGAAATTAAATTGAAGGCCTTATCGGCCACAGAACCCGAAATTGATTACGACATTGTGATTAGCATAATTTTTAGAACCTACGGTGAAATTTAATTGAAAATTGATTCGGGTCAGATTAAATCGATTAAATTGATGAATTAGAACCCAACTACTTTATTACTATTATATTGGCCTTAGTGGGTTTTGTTGTAAAGGCTTTATACACTCAAACTCCCTCTAAATTCTCATTTTGGCTGATATACATTCTAAGGAGAGGAGAGGGCCGGCCATTAGAGTGAGAGAAGGGAGAAAAATCTGTGTTTGATCTTGAAGTCTTGGAAATTTGAAGTCCAACTCTAAATTGGACCATAGATTGAAGGAATTGGGCTTCTAGGTAAGCCATTGACTCTTGAATTCATAGATTGAACTTGTAATCTTGTAAGCTCAAAGTTTAATTGTGATGAAGAGCATGATTTAAATTGGTTTTGGTAAGAGGTGGTCATGCATGCATAGAATTGCTTCTAAATTGCCATAAGTTGCATAATCTAGCATGTATCATGTCAATTAAACAAGATTTGAAGTTTGATCATGCATGCAAGCTTGGTTTTGTTGAGCTTTATGGGAATAAGCACCACTTGCATCCTTTGAACCAGAAATGAAGTCAAGATGGGCATGCATGTTTGAATAATAATTTATGAAGATGGGAGCTTTGAATGCATGAATGTGTATGTTGGAGTTGAGTTTAGTGCCAATTTGGGACATGCATGTGGTTAATTCATAAAAGTGGGCTCCATGATGTTGTGTTTTGGTGTTTATATCGTGTTAGTGCAAATATATGTGAAGTTGGAGCCATATTATGTAGGAAATGTGGTTGGAAGGTCGAATTGGAGCTCAAGAACTCAATCTGGAAAACCCAGATTTTTGATGGCCGCTCGAGCGGGGGAAGAGCCGCTTGAGCGGGAAAATCATGCTCCCAGCACTTTTTTGCAGAGTTGGATTTTCGCTCAAGCGGGATATGTCACGCTCGAGCGGGGAGTTTTGTAGACAGGCCTTCCGCTCGAGCTCTCTATTCCACGCTTGAGCGTATTTTTCATGCAACCAGTACTTTTGCAGGCCTTAAGGGTCCGCTCGAGCGGGTAAGTTGACGCTCAAGCGGGGACCTTGTTCTCTGAAATTTTGTATGCTCGTTCTGTGTTTCATTTTCCGTTCTCTTTCACTTGTAAGCACTCTTAGGCATATGTTAAGCATTGTAAATGAGTTAATGAGATAAGAATAAAGCCTAAAGA